AGAATGTCACTTTTTGTTTAAACTCACTTTTAATAAAAAGTATCAACACATACAAATTTTTCAAACAAAATGTGACATATCATATCACTATTAACAAAAAAAAAGTGACGTTCTGTCACCCTTTGGTCGAGAAGTGACAGAATGTCACTTTTTAAACAAAAAGTGACATCAATTATTATAGAAGTTAACAATGAGAATATACCAAATCTGATCGAATTCCTGTATTGATTTCATCAAGTTGTTTCATATGGAACTTAAAATCAGTCTTAGAATATGCTCTTACAGCCCTATTGAAATGTTCTGCAATATTTTTTCCCCTTTTTTTCCCACCAAAAGAAGACTTAAAGTTCTTTAGTAAGTGATAGGAACATAATCCGTGCATTGCATTCTCATACACTTTGTGAATTGCATTTTTTATGCTTGTATGTCCATCTGAGATTATACACAAACTTCTCGCTCACCATATGCTTCTTTTAACATACTTAAGAACCACTCCCAAAAATCATTGGTTTCTAAATCACTAACTCCAAATGCTAATATAAAGATACTGTTGTTGGCATCTTACGTACATGCAGTGAATAGTGTTCCGCCATAGTTGCCTTTTAAGAATGTAGCATCTATTACTATAACTGGTCTACAATACTTCCACCCTTGAATAAGTGCTCCTAATGCCATGAAGAGGTACTTGAATTTGTTGTCCTGATATGTCTCAATTTTTGTAAATGATCCAGGATTTGTTTGTTCTATCATGTACAAGTATTCTGGAAGCTTTTCATATGACTCTGTAGGATCTCCTCTCACTAATTCCAATGCTTTCTCCTTAGATTTCCAAGCTTTCTCATAGCTCATCGACACTCCATAGGTATTCATCATGTCACTTATAATGTCTACAGGAGTGTATGTTGTTTTTGTTGAGATATACTTGTACATGATGAATTCTCCTACTATTGAGCTGGTTGCTTGACGATGATCTCCCAAAATGATGTTATTTGAGCATATATGGACATTTTTTATATACCTTACCTTGAACATATCGGTTCCACCAAGTCTTGAAGCTCTAAAAGTCCATTTACACTTATCATCAATACATTTCAACACATACTCTTTCTTGTCCAACTTACTTACCTTGAATTGAAAGTTATTGTGTATCGCATATATCGAAATACTTCTCTTAACCAATGTCTTGTTCTTGAACACTTTATCTTTTGAAATTCCATCCATAGTGACCATTGAAATGATATCACTTCCTCCTTCATTCGTTGTTTCTCCAACTTCCGACAAACTATTGTATACATCAATCGCAATTTTTTCCATACTAGGTAATTTTTGAGTGATGTCACAGAATTATCAATTACAGTTTTGCAAAACTGCAATTGTAGCATATCATTTTTTTCATAATTGACAGTCTCCAAACATTGTATATTATTAACAAATTCAGTTTCGTGACTTTTTGATACCGTTGTCACATCTATACACAATGGAAAGCTTGCAAGATCTTTATCCTTTCTCTTCAACTCCAAATAAAATGTTAGTGAAATATCATCTGAAATCTCCATTAAAGGCAGGTTTTTCTTCACTCTATATTGTATTTTTACTCTCTGAGTTGATGCACTTACTTTCATCACAGAACATATCATGCTCTCAAGGTGGTTGTACGTGCAATCCATCGGGACAACAATTCCAGTCATTTTGTCACTTGTGTACTCATTATCTTGTGTCCACTTGCCTCCATAACAAATGAAGACATTGATTTTATCCATACCTACAAAAATATTACAAAGAGATTGTGTGAGTTTTGTTTTTTTTTAAGTGACCGAGTAATATGCATCTAGTTATTTGGCCAAAAAGTGATTCTGTGACTTTTTCTGAAAAAAGTGACAGCATGTTAATTTTTCACATTCTCCTTCATCAAACACCATGCATGCATCAATGTACTTGATTCAAAGATTTCTTTTTTATGTTTATTACTAGAAAACAGGCCTTGAATATGTATCTTAATAATTCCAAAATGCTTGACTATTTTTGGAAAAAAGTGACAGAATGCCACTTTTTTCAGAGAAAAGTGATAGAATGCCACTTTTTCAGAGAAAAGTGACACAATGTCACTTTTTTTGGGGAAAAAGTGATAGTGGATTACATGAGCAAACACATTACATGCATCCATGTAGTGGATTCAAAGTTTTTTTTTTCATATGTAGTACCAGAAAATAGAGTATGAATTGGTATGTTTAAACTTTCAGAAAAGCACACGTATACATCCGGTTAATTGCTCCAATGATAAAGTGTGACTGAATTGGAGAAAGGTCACACAATGTCACTTTTTTTAAAAAAAAAAAAAAGTGACAGAATGTCAACCTCTCCACGTGCATCCATGTAATTGATTCAAAATTTTCATTTTCATATGTATTCTCAGATAAGAGGGCATGAATTGGTATGTTTAAACTTTCAAAAAAGCACACGTATGCATCCGATTAATTGTTCCAATGATAAATGGTGCTTGTTCTTGTATAAATGTAACAAATGTCACTTTTTTTAGAAAGGTGACAGAATGTCACTCTTCATGATCAAACATCTTGTAAGCATCCATGTAGTCGATTCAAAGTTTTCTTTTTCATGTGTATTACCAAAAAACAAGGTATGAATTGAAATATTCAAACTTTCAAAAAAAAAACAAATGTATGCATCCGATTAATTGCTCCAATGATAAATGGTGACTGTTTTGGAGAAAAGTCACAAAATGTCACTTTTTCTAAGAAAAGTGACAAAATGCCACTTTCTCACCTCTTCTTTGAGCAAACACATTGCAAGTATCAATGCAATTGGTTTAAAGTTTTCTTTCTCATGTGTATTACCAAAAAATAGGGCTTGAATATGTACGTTCAAATTTTCAAAAACTCACACGTGCATACCTAGCTAATTGCTTAAAAGAAATGCTGTGACTTTTTTTTGAAAAAAATGATAGAATGCCACT